GTCAAATAAGTGGAGATGGTGTGAAGTCAGTACAGTGATTGAAAAGGTATCCTATACAAAGTTAAGATTGTTGACTTCTGAAAAGAGGAAGAATATCCCTAAGGACCACTGTATTGGTATCATGTCTTCCTTCTCAATAGCCAAAGCATTTATGACCCATTGGGGCTCATTCTTTCATGGAGAAGCTTTCAATATGAAAGTGTATCAGCTTTTTTTGGATTATTAGGTACTATTTAATTAATTAGTAATTTCACTCTCAAGATTAAACAGATTCTTCATAATCAGCTTGTTGGGCTATTTGTTAGGTAGCCTAACAAATGAAGTCAAGTCATTGCAGATCTGTAAGGAAATGATAACTTATGTCCATAATTGTGATCTTAAGACTAGCTAAGATCCTGAAGTATCATTGAAAGGAAGAATATATGCTTGTTGGGGTTGTTGTTAGGTGCCGTCGAGTCGGACCTGACTCATAGCAAACCCTCTTTGGGTTTCCAAGGCAGTATCACTATGGAAGTAGATTGCTCAAACTTCCTACTGAGGAGTGGCTGGTAGGTTTGAACCACCAGCCTTCTGGTTAGCAGTCAAGTGCCTTAGGCACTATGCTATCTTAGCATTGGCTATTTCTAATCACAAGCTTATCTGTAAGAAGAGTAGGGAGGGCAAAACTACCTTTTTCTGTAGAAACTCTTCATATCTAGGCTAACTGTACAGAAAATTTTTGCAGAAGTAACAGCCTACATTGTATGACAGAAAAGTACAAAATGGAGTCACTTAGGACAAGGAGGGATTTGGCATAAACCTTATCCAGAAGTTTCAGACATAGCAAGAGCTGTAGTTCTGGAATGTTCTTTCTTACCTCTTAAGAACTAGTTTAGAGTTCAGAGTTCAGGCACTGGAGTCAGACTCAAGTCCAGTTACTTACTAGCTGGACAGTTACACAGGTCACTTAACTACTCTGTGATTCCGTTTCCCATAAAATAGTCATGATCATAACACTAGCCAGTTGCTGGATTCCATTTCAACTCAGTGCAACCCCGTGTGTGTCAAAGTAGAATGTGCTTGATATAGTTTACACTGGGTAATCTGAAGTAGCCCACCAGACCTTTCTTCCAAGGCACTTCTAAGTGGACTGAACCTCCAACATGTCAACTAGCAGCCAGGAACATTAACCATTTGTACCCCTCAAGGTCTGTAATCATAATACTACCCACCTCATAAGATTTCTTCAGAAATAGGGGTGGACCAAAAATGACAAAGGTCAGTAGCAAATGAGTGCAGCTGCTATGTACAGCCCCACAGAAAATTAGATGGGAACATGATTAATTTTGCTAGGATCCATAAGCAAGTGAGAAAGTACACCTCATTTCTCTTGGATATGGAGAATAGGACAAAATAATATGAAACAAAATAGGTATAGGAATTGAAAGTAAGAGTTGGATGAACCATGAAAAGTGGAATCAGAGGGAATGCATGCTTGGCTTTCTAGCTGGCAAACCTTAAAGCATATCTAGAACACGTTTCTATGGATAAAAGGAGCTTTGGTGGTGCTGTGGTTGAGACATGGTACTGCTAACCCAAAGGTCAGTGGTTCGAATCCACCAGCCCACCAAAGGAGATAGATGAAGCTGTCTGCTTCTATAAAGATGTACAGTTTTGGGAACCCTATGAGGGTGGTTATGAGTTAGAATCAATTAGATGGCAGTGGGTTTGATTTGGTTTGGTTTATGTTGGTAAACTGGCTGAATCAAGTCCCTCATCCTCTGTGGTATGTAATCAATACCTCTCCCCATGCCTTAGGCTCCACCCCCAAGCTGGGTGCCATGGGGACATGCCCCAGGAAGTCTTTGAAGGACTAGACCTCCACACCTGCACTCTTGCCCTTGTGCTCAACCATTTTAGAAAAAGTAAGCTTTAAAAGACCGTGGAGTCCTCCTTGGAAGGCTTTCCATGAAAGTCAATGGGAGACAGAAGTGTTTTCTCTGAAACAAATATATCAAGGGAGGAGAACATACTGGGTCGTCAGCTGTAAAATCCTCATTTGTGGGGGGGGTGGAAAGATTCTGGGGCTTTACAACCTTGAAGTACATTTTTCCATCCATGCATAGTGATATAAATTGGTCCAGAACATAAGTAAATCATTAACTTCAGGGAAAATATAATTAAATGACTCATCCCATATCCAATCTGACAGAACAATGTGTTATAAAGCTGGAGGGAAGAGTAAGAAGTTCTCACTCTTGTGAAGGCAGTCTTCTTTTAAAGTTTTGGAATCTGTGTGTATGTGTGTTTAATAGACAGATTTCCCTGACCAGAAAGAATAAAGTTTACAGTTTTCATTAAGACCTCCTTGAAATATGAGCTAAGAAATTAAAGTTTTTATTGGGGGGCAAAATTCAAAGTACTTGCTTATTGTGTTCTTAATAGGCCTCCTTTCATTAAAAGCTCACATTTGCTCTTGAGCAACTTGTTTGTTACAAAGGGTTAAAAATTTACCCCAGGCTCAAATCATACTCTTATTCCAGCAAAGAAGTCCTGTTTCTGAACCACTCTGTATTAGAACCCATCAGTCCTGCGTCCCCTTCTCAAAGCCCTACTAGATAATTCAATCAACCAGTTTAAAATACGTTGTAAATGTGAATCTCCATCTCCTTCTCATACCTGGAGGGTTGGAAAAGAAATTTCTGAGCAATTTCTCAGGAATTTCTTTATATCAGAAATTTCTTTATAAGCAACTTTATAATTTCTTTATAAGCAACACCTCCTTGGGTTTCCGAGGCAGTACCTCTATAGAAGTAGATTGTCCTATCTTCCTTCCTAGGAGTTGCTGGTGGATTTGAACCACCAGTTTTCTGGTTAGCAGTCAAATTCCTTAGGTACTACACCACCAGAGCTCCTAATCAAATGGCAGAGGGCTTCTATTCAACCTACCCTCAAGACTGGCCTGAAACAGTGACACTTCCTAGAGTGGTATGATAGGAAGCATGGGGCTTTACAAATAGATTGGCCTTATTTTAATCCTGGTTTCTCTGTTTACTAGCTGTTTGGTCTTGGAGGTACTTAATCTTCCTGAGTTCTAATTTGCTAGTTGTAAAACAATGATATTTCACTCTGAAAAATGGTTACAGAGAATATGCATGCTGGGGTTTTAAAGTTTGCAAGAGGCCATCTAGATGCAACAATGGTTCTCTCCTCATCCAAAGAAAGGAAGAATAAAGAAAACCAAAGACACATGGAAACAAGTAATCAAAGGGACTAGTGGACCATGCAAACCTCAGGCTATATGACCATGAGACCAGAACTAGCTGGTGCCCAGCTTCTACTCTCAACCATTCAGAAAGGGATCAGTGCAGGAGATCCTGGACAGAGTGGAAGAACAATGTGGAGCAAAAATCAAAATTAATTTAAAAAAAAAAAAAAAAAAGACCAGGTTTACTGGTCTGATAGAGCCTGGTGAGACCCTGAGACTATGGCCCCTAGTTACTCTTCAGATCTGGAACTGAACTCACTCCTGTGGCTTCCAGCCAAACAATGGACAGACATATAGGGTGAACATTTACATCAGGTAGATACACTCCTTAGAATGATAAATCATGAGAGAACAGAAGGGCAGTATTTGCATAGGGAGATAGCTCAGGGGACAGGCATGCACGCAAAAGAAGAGGTAACTACAGGAAGGAAATGGGAAGAGCTGTTATAATTGAAGTCAATGTCATGAAACAAAATGTGTATGAACTGCTGTAAGGAAAACAAATTTTCTCTGTAAACTTTCACCCAAATCACAATAAAAAATAAGGAAAACATTCTCAATAAGTGTTTCCAATGGAAAGATGAGGACACATAACTATGGTATAAAAGATCTGATAAATTACCCCATCTTTCTCCTGCTGAGCAGCTGGTAGGTTTGAATAGCCAACCTTCTGGTTAGCAGTCAAATGCCTTAGGCACTATGCCAAGAGAGCTCCTTATAAATGACATGGGTGACAAAAATATTTGAAATCAAGATTATCAAGAAAAAGAAGAAAAGTCTGGAACTTATAGGTGACACAGCTGTAGTGTCTGGTACGCACTTGGAAAAGTACTACAAAGTTAGTTAGGCAGGATGGAACTAAACACTAAATATAAAATATCATGTCTTTTTTTTTAAGTTCTGGTAAGACCGTGGGCTGCTGACTGCAGCTTACAAAAGAATGCTAGTTAACACCAAATCAGTTTTCTAAAAAAAAAGCCCAGAAAAGAACAAGCAACTCTGACAAATGGACAAGAGTTCAAATGAGACAAGAATGCACACTGTTTGTAGAGTTATAAAAGCTAGAATGGGGTTAGGTAGTATCTAGACTTCTTTGATCAAAAAGCAGGGATTAGTGGTTGTTTCATTTACTAACACGATTTTCTTTTCTTTTCTTCAATTATCCTATTTTCAGCCTTTGCTTTTAGGATTAATTACAGCATCTTGCACTGCTTAATCAGCAGAGATGCACCACTTGGGGGATACTGTGATCCCCTTTTCCAAAATTAAATTTTGAAGCCGAAAGTCAAGTTTCATTTCTCATTTAATGTAATCCTATGAGACTTTATTCAATATTATAAAAAAAAAAAGAAGAAAATTACTGCAGAGGAGTGTCTTTAGTTGTTACCCTCAGAAACTTAGGGGCAGCCAAAAAGAACTTATTTTCTCAGTGATTATACTAAATATCTTTGTATTGTCCATCAAGATTATTTTAAAGTTTTCAGTATTAATATAAATTTGCTAGTAAAATCAACTACTAACCAAAAGTTTGGCAGATCAGATCCACCCAGAGGCATCTTGGAAAACAAGCCTTGTGTTTTGCTTCTGAAAGGTCACAGCCTTGAAAACCGTATGGTACACTTGAAGCCACCATAAGTCAATGACAGCAATTAACAACAACCATCAAAGATTAAATGTGACGAAAATTTTAATTAAAATTATGCACATCATATTCACATTGTAACCTTTCTGTTTTAAACATTCATTTTTTCAGAACGCTGCAAGAACTGCCAAGAGTGAAACATGCTGTTGGACCTATTGAGATAGTGAGTCAAATCAGTTGTAAATATGTGAATAAGAAAATTTTAGAGAATTGGTAGTAGTAAATGGAATGTTTGTGTTTGTTTAATAGTTAACATTCATTATTTGGGGGACAAAAAAAAGAATCAATCCTTGTGTTACTTCCAATAGGAAAAAGAGGTTAACAATCTTAAAATTCCATGATAAGGGATAAGAAAAATAAACAACACAACTTCCATAAATAAATTTCTAGTGATTCAATAGTGTGTTGCAAAGCTAAATTAAGAAGGAAAAAAATATCACTATATATACAGTGACTCCACACATATACATATTTTTTCCAATATTCATAAATGTTATCAGAGGTTATTTCTGAGTACTGAGGGGATTACTATTTTATATTTCACTATTTTCTGGGATTATACATTGAGATATATTGCTTTTATTATTTTTAAAATTATAATAAATCCTTTTAAAATAAAAAAATAAGAATCTAAATATTTTATAAATGCTATATATCAGATTGGGAGCCCTCGTAGTGCAGTAAGGTTAAGCACTTGGCTACCAACTGCAAGATCACGTATTGAAACCCACCAACTGCCCAGGAGAAAGATGTGGCAGTCTGCTTCCATAAAGATTACTACTGTGGCAACCCTATGGAGCAGTTTTACTCTTTCAGTTGGAATCAACTTGATAGCAACAGGTTTGGGCTTGTTTTTTTCTTTTTTCTTAATATATCAGAAAGTATTTCTAGAGTTAGCATACATCTTCAGAATTACGTTCAAGGAATATTCACAGGCATGTTCCCAGGCATCTCCTCCTCCTGCTCTAATCTCTGTGCCAATGTGGCTTTCATTGTCATTAGAAATGCACAGGAAACAGTGTCTGTTCAAAAATCAGACTAAAAAGAACCTGTGAAGTAGTAGAACATGACAAACTTTACCAAGGAGATAAAAATCTACTCTTGGCAAAGGTGGGAGAGCAGTTACCCTCTTCTCATCTCTAGTACTGACTACAACTCTGTGGAACTTACACCATAAATATTTATTAGCTCCTGGGAAGGAAGATTGGGCAACCTACTTCCATATTGATATCGCCTTGGAAACCCAAGGAGGGGTGGCTATGAGTTGGGATCAACTCCACGGCAGTGAGTTTTGGTTTTTTTTTTGTTTTGGTTTGGTTGTTTCATGAATGAATGGAAAAGCATGACATTTTTCAGTCTCCACTCACGAAATAGCAACTAAGTTCCTCTGGCTTTTACTCAAATCTAATTATATTATAATACTATCTTACATTTTATCTTGGCCCGTCTCAGTAAAATAATTAATCCAAGCTTTCAAGTTTTGTTCATATTTTAATTTTGGAATAGTGCTTTGGGGGTTTTCTATAGAATAGGATATAAAGGAGTCAGTATTGACTTTCAGGTATTTCTTTCTTATTCAAAACAACCTTGAAAATTATATTAAAGGACAGATATTATCCTGGGTGAAAAAAAAATCTGGGGCTTTAAAACAAGAATCAAGAATATAATCAATCATATTTGGTGAACTAATTTTTACTAGATTGCTGCCATTCACTCTGCTTCATTGTATCAACTGCTATAGCGCTGACAAACCTAGGAAACAGATTTGGCAAAAAGTTGCAGATTAATTTTCCATAACCAAAGGTATTGTCATTACTGTTGTTGTTGTTATGTGCCGTCAAGTGGACCCAACTCATAAAGACTCCTCCTTGGGTTTCCGAGGTGGTGTCATTATTGAAGTAGATTGCCCAACCTTCCTTCCTATTAATGGCTGGTGGGTTTGAACTGCCAGCCTTCTGGTTAGCAGTCAACTACCTGATTCAAATTAGCTTAATTTATTCCAGAATCAATCAAGTGGAAGGAAGTTTCTGATTCACACCCACATCTGGCCTAACATATCTATAATTTGCACAAATTTTACTTCTTGATTTTTTAATAATGTTTCCAAAATAATCCTTAAGACAATTTTATACCTTCAAACTTTTAATCCATTTGTGAAGCATCACTTATTTAACAGCTAAAACCAGTTTGCCTGCAGCTGTAATGCTGTACTGTGTTTCACTTGTTTTCCTCAGTTTCGCTTTGCTGATGGACTGGACATCACACTCATGGTCCTGGGATTACTGGCATCTCTGATGAATGGAGCCTGTCTTCCTGTAATGTCACTGGTTTTAGGAAAAATGAGTGATAACCTAATTAGTGGTTGTCTAATCATAACCAACACAAGTGAGTACAAAATTTGTTTTTCTGTATTACTGAGGATTCGAAAGCATAAAATAATAAAAACCATTGAGGTTACAATACAGATTATTGTATTGTCAGATAGTATCTATATAATAACAACATCTATCAAGTCATTTATTCTTGTACTTTGCTAGGGAGTAGGAAACATCCACAAAGAAACTATGAGCTCTTAAAGTGATGGCTTTATTCTCAAATAATATTTTTATATTCTATATTCATGTCAGCTATCTAAAATACAATATTTAGATAATTGCTTTAAGAGTTCCTACAAATATAAATATACTTTTAATTTACTAACAGTACTTAGTTTATGAGTCATCTGAGAATCACCATGGATCAACCTGTCTGTCTAGAAATTCAAAGAATTTTCTATTACAAATGGCGTTATCTCAGAATATAATCAAAGGCTTTGGTCATTCCAGGCCACTGTGTTTCACCCTTTAGAAGTAAGAAATCAAGAATGGCTAAACCATTTCGATAACTACTTAGTATTTATTTAACAGTACATAGATATGTCTGGCACTGTAGAACGTGATTTTGCAAGGATGGAGAAAAGAACATGCAGAAAGTTATAGTACTAGAGAAAAATGCCCCGAATAGATAGGAGGAGAAATTACAATCAGTGTAGGAGAAAAAGTGTTCTTGTATCACCTGTGTTTGTAGACATCCTTTACATATCATTACCTCTTCAGCATCCTGTATCAGGATTATGTCCTTCAGGCTGACATTACTCTTTAGATATAAGTTCCAGCAATTCTCAGATGCACTGACATAGAGAACATCTACAATCTTTTTGTGTGATGGATATTATCAATATTAGTAATTCCCTAGTGCCTCGCATGTTTTGTCCCAAATTCTACCTTAGGAAGTGTCCTTCTAGCTGTTCCTTATAACTGGGACAAATAGCCTAGCTCTGTGCCACTGTACCTCCTTCTTTGCCCTATTTGACTTAAATGCTTATTTATTCCATCTTATTTTCCACTCAAATAATCTTTCAAGTGTCCAGTCTTATTGAGTGCGATGAATTCATAGCTTTCACCTCTATATTCTTTCAAGTGATGGTTTCCCATCTACACAGTTGTGGAGTCTCTTCATATTTTAGTGATATAGATTAAATTAAGGTTGCCATTACTGATTGTTCAACAAATGGATCCAAATCGCTGTGCAGATATGTATTGATTGCCAGCTATGCCTCTCTGAATGAACAAATGAATAATTACACTAGCCACCTAAGGCAGTAGGCTTGGGAATATTTCTGTCTTTCAATAATATTCTTTTGTGGTTTCAGCAAAAGTTTACACAGCATATTGGGTCCCATTTTGACAGTTTCTACAAAAATTGTTCAGTGGAGTCAGTACATTTTTCTACAATGTGTCAACATTTTCTTTAATTGACTTTTGGTTGCTGTTTCCAGTACTATATCCCTGTTCCTTTATCTACTCATCTTTGTTTTAAAGTAATTGTTGATGGAAGTATTGCTTTTGTTACATCTTCCATTGCATATTGCCTTACTTGCTTTAGATAGGGCAGGCAGTAAATACCTGACTAATACTGCTGTGAACTCTAATTTTTGTTTTTGTGTAAGGCTTCTTCAGTATTCAAGAGTTCTGTGATGTATTTTATCAAAGGTGGTGAATGTATAAACAAGCAAAATAAAGATTTGACAAACTCATGGATATTACTGGTATATTATAACATATCACATACAATTAGATACATTAAGGGGATATACCCTCAACCTTCCAAGAGTGATTTCCTGAAAGATAACTGCATGCTCCTACAACTAAAATTATATAATCTCCAAAATGCAGTAGTCCTATTTTTGTGGGTACCATTTATTGAGTAATGTTCACTATCTTTACTAACTCAGTTATAACATCATTAAAACTTTCTACTAAGTTTTAATCTCTTCATTTCTGCAATGTCAATTCTAATATTTGGACTAAGGTTCTTTACAAATTTTTTCCTGCCACAATTCCATAAGTAGCATAGAGAAAAATGAGTGTTTGCTTGTATATAAAGCGCACAGATCTTGTAATATGTGATAATGATGTCATGGTATGTATATGATGAAGAGTTATGATGCTGTGATCCATTTCAAGGGTTGCTGAAAAGAAATGATGACAATGGATGTTGATCACTGTTATGTGCTGTGAGTGAAATTATGACTTGGTATACTAAAACACACAGAAACTTTTAATGTAGAAAACTTATAACCCAAGGATTGTTTTAAACACTCTTTTATTATGTGGCTACCCTGGTTAAACCAAACAGATTTCAAAGAGTTTTATTTGTTCTTCCTGTGGCTTCTTCTAGAATTTACACACATTTTCTTGCTTTTTCTTGGACTTTTTAAATCATTCCCTGAGGTATTTCAAACTGAATTCTATACGTATAATCTCAGAAGAGAAAGGGGAATTCTACTACTGTTACTTATCAAACTATTTCCTGAAATCAGAGATGTTCTACAGGTATTAGCTACGTCATTAAAATTTTCCTGTAATTTTTGATGTTGTGTAAGTGCTCCTTAAGAGCCCAAAATAAAGCCACAGTCATCAAGTCCATTCCAACTCATTGCAACCCTATAGGACAGAGTAGAATTACCCCATAGGGCTTCCAATGCTGTAGATATGTAGGAAGCAGACTTATTTATCTTTTCTCCCACTGAGCAGCTAGTGGGTTTGAACAGCCGACCTTCTGGTTAGCAGCCCAGTGCTTTAAACACAGTGCCACCAGAGTTCCTTTTCTTAAGAGCAGAGATAATTATTTCAAATCTTAGATGAAAGAATAGAGCACAATATGATCATAAACCTGTGGATGAGCAGTATGTCTATTTTCTTGAGAATGTCCTTCATTTGGTTTGGAGAGTTATCTATGAAATAGTATGGCTTATTGTAAACTAATTTTCTTTGTAATTTAAATCCTTTTTACAGCAAATTATCAGAACTGTAATCAGTCCCAAGAGAAGGCAAATGAAGACACGATGCTGTAAGTCCAAATGAGGTGTTAGCATCAGGTTCATTGCATGCTGCTTTATTCAATACATATAAAGAAAAAAACAACTGAAAAGTTTTATCTGATCATTAATATTACATATAAGTGATTAAAGCAAATATGTCCTCTTCTTTCATTATGTATATAAAACATAATTACTCCATAATTTTTCTTCTATTTGAATGGCTTGTAAGTTCATACGCTTTGGATTATATTTGACAAAATGGTCATCAATAGAAAATATGTGGGTATTTGCATTTTTATATCAATTTTGTCCCCTAGAACTAAAGGTACGTGTAGTAGAAGATAAAGGACAAGTTTTTCTGTTTTAAGTTGTTTTCCTTTCAATCCTTACAGAATATGCCATTACTATAAAGGAAGGTTGGGCAATCTACTTCCATAGTGATACCGCCTCGGAAACCCAAGGAGGGGTCGCTATGAGTAGGGGCTGACTCGATGACACATAACAGCAACAACATAAACTTTTAAAACCAAAAAGATTTGCACAACAAATAAATTTAGTAAAATTTTATTCAGACTAATTTGGGAAACTAATTACATATATAATGTAATTAGTTTCCCAAATTAGTCTGAATAAAATATCATATTACATAGTTTGATATAAAAATTTGATTCAAACTGAAAAGTGCCAAGTCTGAAAAATAAGTAAATTATATTTAAGGACATTCTGTTTTTGTTATTTTATATGTTAAACAGTATGCTTTATTCAGATATGCTGAGTTTGTTTGTCATAGATGTTTCTTTACTGAATATATTGCCTACTATCATTAGTGTCTCAGTAGAACTCTCAGAATCTTTACTATAAACCTAAGTCCTCCCTCCTTATGTTCTCTTGGAAGTGAGGCCTCTATGTTGCACAAACCCAGAGAATACCCATCACATTGTAGTGACAACTTCTTGACCATATCCTTCACCTGTACCATCCAACACAGCGACATGTGGCTATTTAAATTTAAGTTAATTAAAATTAAATAAAATTTAAAAATCACTTTACAGCCAACATTTCAAGTTCCCAATAGCCACACGTAGCTAACGGCTGCCATACTGAGCAGCACAGTTATTGAACAATTCCATCACCACAGAAAGTCCTATTGGACAGCACTGTTCTGTGTGACAATGGGAATAGTGGTCCCATGAGCTGTGCTTTTTGCAAGCCTCAACTTTCTTTGAGGGAAAATTTTCTCTCTTAGCAACTTTTACATAAAATGTCTTTATATGTGGAGTTTTAAAAATTCCTAATTAGGATCCAGGGTATTGCCTTCCACTGAATCCTAGCCTTACAGTATTAAAGCAGAGTTCTGACGTACGATCATGAAGTATGACCTTCTTGCCAAAAATAGGCTTAGAATTTTAAAAAAAAGCTGAATCCATTGGAAAGAATTCAAAATGACAATAAAAGGAAGGATAAGACAGAGATAAAAAGCTGTGTCTAAATGAAGTTATTGAAAGATTACCTAATGTATAAGGACATATTCTTAAAATTTATAACACAGCATTTGTTGTGCTATTGTTTCTAAAACAATATTTGTATGTTTCAGAAACAATATTTGTATGTTTCAGAAACAATATTTCTATGTTTTAGAAGTAGATGAGATACATGATGAAGAAAGTTTCCATGGTCAAATGGTCTGTTAATCGCTATATCTGAGAGCTTCATCTTGAATGCACACAATATGTATAAGCATATTAAAGGCTCCATTTAGTTAACTTTGTTTAATATAACTTTTTCAAACCTATTTGACCAGGAAATCTCACTTTTTTCTCCCAACACCTGTTAACATCCTGTGGAATTTTTATTTTAATTAACATATTAATGGGAAGCATTTCTTTTTATAAATTGCTTATTCAGCATAAGGTAATACCTCTTTATTTATAATCATCAGAAACTGAGGAATTTTATTCTACCTGGAAAATTATTTTCCAGATAGAATGACTCACAGCTTTATGAAATTTTAATGTTTAATATTAAGTCGATGACTTTGTCTCATTAATCAGAATATTCTGAAAATAATTTGACCTTTCTTGTTGACTCCAGATTGTAAATGACTACATAGTCCCCAGATTACTACCGATGAATGTGATGTCTCCTGTTTTACGATCAAGAGTTAGTTAACTAAATCTGTATTAACTTCTAAGCATCTTCTCCCCCTTTTTTTTTTTTTTGCTCCTCTGGTATATCTTCTATAACCTAAGTAAAAATCAAGGGGAAAGGTAGATGACCAAGTCTATGTTTGGTTAGGTATAACTGCATTTACTGTAAAATCAATCTTAATAGTGGCTTAAATAGGAGAAAAATTTATTTGTCTCACACATAAACACATGAAGATAGGCAGCCTAACACTGAAACATGGTTCACTAGCTGTTAAGAACCCAGGATCCTTCTGTCATTCTACTCCAGCATCTTTGTCCTGGCTTCCATCATCAACATCACTCTCTGGTCAAAAATGGCTGCCAGAGCTCCTGCCAGTAGGTAGAAAGAGGAAGAAAGAAAGCACCCCCAACCTCCCAAAAAATGGAATCCTAGTTGAATCAGCTTCCTTTAAACAGGCTTGCCAGATGTTCCACCAAACAATTACATTTAAACCTAAAAATTGTCTGATACTAAGTATGTAGTCACATCCATTTTAGCTGGCCATATTGCTACTCCAAAAGAGAAAAAAAAAAAAAAAAAACGGGAGTTCTGTTTCTAAGAAAGATGCTAAAATCAGATATTAGCTGAGAGATAACAGCAAATTCTACTGCAGAAGTTGTACTCCAGTTGATTTCCTAATTCTTTTCAGTGTATCTGAGGAATGTTAACAGGTGATACATTAGAAAGATGGGGGGATGGTCATAGTCCATGGGCTGAGACTATTTGTGAAACTGTTTCTTTGTGGTATCTTTTTTGGATTTTTTTAATGCATTAATATGTGTTAATCTTAAAAAGGGAAGGGAGCTAGCTATGCGGTCTTTCCCAAACCTATTTGACCATCCATTTTCTTCAGAAATCTTGCCAGGTAATTCATATCACAGGTTCAAGATTCAAATCATGGACAGTTATACTGTCTAGTTATAGAGCTTGTTAGGTAACTACTTTGTGTGAGTTTCAGTTTCATCATCTGTAAAATACGATATTAGTATTTTCCATATACAATGCTTCTAGAGGTTAATATTCAGATATATACAGGGCCTGGCATAATATTTCACACATTATACATGATCAATAATAATAATAAGAGGGCAGTGGTGGTTCAGTGGTAGAATTCTAGTCTTCTACGTGGGAGACCAGGGTTCAATTCGTGACCAATTCATCTCAAGCCACCACTCGTCTGTCACTGGGGACTTGGGTGTTGCCGTGATGCTAGAGGTTTCAGTAGAGCTTCAACACTATGACAGACTAGGAAGAAAACCTGGAAATCTTCTCCCAAACATCAGCGAGTGAAAACCCTTTCATTCACGAAGTAGCCATGAGTCAGGCAACTGGAAGGCAGCTAAAAACAACAAATGCTCAGTTAAGGGCGACATTAAATCAACCTCAATTTGCAGGTGATTTTTAATCCGAAGGCCAGGCCCGAGGGTAACTTCATTCTCTGATGCAGAATAAATTACCTGAGCTTTAGGACTAGAGTTTCTTTTAAGTCATTTTCAATGACTGATTTTTCCTAAGTAGATCACCAGACCTACTCTCTGAGGCTAACCACCAGCCACTCCTCAGAAGGAAGGTTGGGCAATCTACTTCCTTAGTGATACCGCCTCGGCAACCCAAGGAGAGGTCGCTATGAGTCGGGTCTGATTCCACAGCCCATAACAACAACACAACATTCTCTGAGGGGCTTCTGGGTGTGTTCAAACCAACAACCTTTCAGTTAGTAGTCAAATGCTTAACCATTTGTGCTGCCCAGGGACATCTCTTTTACTTACCATAATGTATTTGAGATTCACGTATATCATAACATGTATCTGTAGTTTGTTCCTTTTTATTGCTGAGTAGTAATCCATTTCAAGGATATATTACATTTTGTTTATCTGTTCACCAGTAGATGGACATTTGGCCCATTTTTATTTTTGAATAATTCTTCTATGAACATTGATGTACAAGTGTTTGTGTGGATATATTATTTTATTTCTCTTGGGTGGATATCTAGGAGTGGAACTGCTGAGTCAGATGGTAAGAAAAGTTTCTTTTTAAGAAACTGCCAAACTGTTTTCTAGTGGTTATACCATTTTACTTACACCAACTATCCCACCCACTCAGAAATGTATGAGGGCTCCAGTTTCTCCATAACCTTGCCAACACTTGTTATTGACTATCTTTTTGATTATAGCCATTCTACTGGATGTGAAGTGGTATTATATTATAGTTTTAATTTGAATTTGGTGATGCAGTGCTTAAGGCATTTGACTGCTAACCAGAAAGCTGGTGGTTCAAACCCACCAGCCACTCCTTGGAAGAAAGATTGGGCAATCTACTTCCATAGAGATACCACCTGGGGAACCCAAGGAAGGCTCACTATGAGTCAGAATTGATTTGACAGCATTGAGTTTGTATTTTTACTTTTTAATAACTAATAATGATAAGCACTTTTCACATATTTTTTAGCTGTTTGCATATTTTCTTTGGTGAAATGTTTATTCAATTATTTTACCTATTTTTGAGTTGCTCTTTTTGTCTTATTATTGAGTTGTAAGAGTTCTTTATAAATTATGGATACAAGCTCTTTATCAGATACATATGACTAGCAGATATTTTCTTCTGGTCTGTGGTTAGGCTTTTATTTTCTTAATGGTTTCTTTTGAAGCACGTAAGTTTTAAATTTTAAAAAATTATATTTGATTATCTTTCAGTGAAGGTTTACACAGCAGTTTAGATCTAATTCAACAATTTCCACACAAATTGTTCAGTAATATTAGTTATATTGTTTACAATACATGAACATGCTCATTTTTTTTTTTTTTTTCTGTTCTGGTGACTCCATTTCCATTAATCTAGTTTCCCTCCCCCCCCCCTTATACTCTCATCTTTGTTTTAAAGTAAGTGTTCATTTGCTCATATAGTGATTTTTTTAAGAGTACAGTACTTATGGGTGATACTCATGATTAGTGAGCCAATCTGTTATTTAGCAAGTTTTAAATTTTGAATCCAATTTATTGATTTATCCTGCTTTTGAATTTAATAATTCTCTGCTTAACTCAAGATCATAAAAATTTTCTCCTGTTTTTTTCTAGAAATTTCAGTTGTGGCTCTTACACTTAGGTCTATGATCCATTTTGAATTAATTTCTTTTTTGCATGTAGTATTCACATATTCAGTTGTCCCAGGACTGTTTGTTAAAAAAAAAAAAAAAAAAAAACAACTATCTCTTCTCCATTGAATTGAAAATCAATTTTCCATAAACATACATGTCTATTTCTGAATTCTCAATTCTGTTCCATTTATTTGTCTAACCTTATTCTAGTACCACTCTGTCTTAGTACCACTCTAACAGCTGTCTAGTAAAGAAATACTTTATCTAAAATCAGAAAGTATTAGTCTTGCTACTTTTTTCTTATTTCTAAAAAATTTTTGGATATTCTGAGTTCTTTCTATTTCTTTATAAATTTTAGGATCACCTTGTCAGTTTATGGGGGTGGGGGGGAAGGCCTGCTGGGATTTTGACAGAGGTTGTAATGAATCCACAGACCAATTTGGGAAGAATTGTCATCTTAACAATGGAAAGTCTTCCAATCCATGAACATGGACTATCTTTTCATTTATTTAGATCCTCTTTAATTTCTTTTAAAAGTGTTTTATAGTTTTCAATGTACAAGTCTTGCATTTCATGTGTTCATTTTATTTTGTAACCCATTCTCCTCTTCCAGTATTGTAAATGACTTTCCAATACATTAAAAAAGTATTAATAACATGATTTTTAATGAACCTGCGTTAATATTCTATCCTGTCCTTGAACATTTCCACTTATTAGAAAACATTGATTTTCCTCTTGTGTTTTTCTTGGTACCATATTCTCCTGACTTTCCAACCATCTCATTGGCTATTTTCAACTTCTTTTCTAGGCTTTTTCTCTTCATCCCAAACTCTATGTTTGGAGAGTCACTGAGATCAGTCTTTGGTCTCTTTTTTTTTTTTTTTTTTTTTTGCCTATACTATATACTGCATTCTCTGTCCATGTATCTCTCCCCCTCTCTCTCTTTCTTTCTTATTTTTGCCAGTCTCTTGGGTCATTTTTGGTTTAAATAAGTCCCCATTCCCCACTTCCTCCAGTCTATGATAACTACCAATCCACTTTATTTTCTAGTCTCTTTCTTGTAATTACCACGTATAAGCTGATGACTTTTCAATTTGCATCTTCAACTTAGATCCCCTTCCAGTGTTTCGGACTACCATTTTCAACATGCTAAACTTTTCCCCTGCCTCTGACCTGTATGCTTACTCTTCCTTCTGTCTCGGGAATGCTCTTCTTGCTCTTTTCATGGCTGGTTCCTTTACGTCTTTTGGATATCTGATATAATCTCACTTCCACAAGGAAGCTTTCCTTAACCACTCTACTACTTATCTGCACTACTTCTTCCAACCCACGTGCACCACCAATTACTCTGTGATGAACACCCTGTTTATTTCCTTCACAGACCAGTTTGAAATTCTTGTATTTGTCTATTGTCTGTTTCCTCCCACCAGAATGTAAAGTCTTTAAGTATGGAGATTTATGATTTTGCTCATGGTTGTATTTTAGCACTTCACAAGAAGCAAGCACTCAGTAAATGGTTATTAAATGACCATTTCCTATCTGGTCTCTAGTTAGATATTTAGATAGCTTTCAGCTTTATTATTAATGCTACAGTCAACATCTATATGGACTAATCTTTGTACCTATTTCCTTAGAGTAAACTCAATTTTTAAATCCCATGTATATTTTTAAAGTTTTTTATCAAATGCTTTTGACTACTCTCATTTTCTTTACCCTCTTGTTCCACATGCAAATTTCTTAATTCTACTGATTTTAAATGCAACTTTTTCAAGTTGAATTATTAAAAACACTGATGTAGAATATGAATAACAAATATGTTTTAAAGTGCTAATTTCCACTAATAGTGTAAACATAATACTCTATATATCTCAGCAGGGAAAAATAGATCATTACACTCTTTCTCGTGGATGTTTATTTAAATTCTTTTATAGGTTCTAGGATCTCTTCCTACAATTAAATAATTTATTTGATTTCTTTTTTATTAACAAGGGGGAAAAATGTGCATCACTCACACTAACATTTACAATCATTCTTTCGCAGGTTGACACTGTATTATACTGGAATAGGATTGACTGCTTTGATTTTTGGCTACATGCAGATTTCTTTTTGGATTATAACTGCAGCACGGCAGACCAAGAGAATTCGAAAACAGTTTTTTCATTCAATTTTGGCACAAGACATCGGCTGGTTTGATGGCTGTGACATCAGCGAACTCAATACTCGCATGACTGAGTAAGAGGATAGATGTGTAGTACATCCATTTTGTTTTCATTTACAACATATACATGACCTACTAATTTTATCTGCTTCTTTCAGGGACATCAACAAAATCAATGATGGCATTGGAGACAAGTTTGCTCTGCTGTTTCAAAACATGTCTACTTTTTCTATTGGCCTAACAATTGGTTTGGTGAAGGGCTGGAAACTCACCCTAGTGACTCTGTCCACAGCTCCACTTATAATGGCTTCAGCAGCAGTGTGTTCCAGGGTAGGCAAATGGCTAATGCAGTAGGAGAGTTTATCGAATAAGAATTTCTATTCATTTTTCATGTCCCAGAATGCAAAGAGACATTATACTTTTGATATATTTGGCTAAAATATGGGGTTTTGTAAATATCTAACTCTTAAAAAAGAAAGAAAGAGAGAAAGAAATTCCTTTTCATTTAGCAGCCTAATGAAGCTTCAAATAATAGCCTTGGTAAAGTATTATGCTATTATACATTGGATCCTTTATTGTTCCTACTGTGAGAGCTTCTTGTGTTCCAAATTTCCAGACAGATTTTATAGTTAAATAATTCCTTAACAATAGGATTGGGTGTTTAGGTGAAAAATCTTTACTTTCTCTGACTTCTAATGTTGACCTTGCTACCCTTTGTCAAAATCTCCAACCCCAGCTTATTTTGAAATGAGAATCCCTCAGTAGGAAGATTACCCATATTTAGTATATTACTAAGATCAGAGGCCTTAACTGCCCAGGGAGCGAGAGGTAGGCAAGGCGTTTAACAGGAACAAGAGTCTAAATCCTGCTATTGTGAAAACTGGTCATAAAGAGGAAGCAAGGAAAGGTCAAAGTTGTTCACATGACTTGAGATGCCAGGGTAAATAATTTCTAGCTTCCTTCCATTTAATTTGGCAAGCATTTATTAAATATCCATTGTATACAAGATGATGTGCTAGGTGCAGCTTCCCTTCCAGTTTTATATTACAGGAATAATTATCTTTACTAAATGCATTCAGAAAATATGAGTATTATTCAGCTCACACTATCTTCTGTTTTTAACAGCCATCCAAGCATGTATTATATAAAATCAGCTCTTATTAATGGAATATATTATTTACTCTGAGAGTTCTGGTAGCATGGTGCCTAAGGCATTTGCTAAGCAGAAGGCTGGAGGTTCGTGCCCATGCCCACCAGCCACACCTCGGAAGGGAGATTGGACAATCTATTTCCATAGAGATACCACCTCAGAAACCCATGGAGGGGTCACTATGAGTTGAATCAACTCAGGGGCAGTATTATTATTATTATT